GTTAAGTTTATTCCTTGATACTTTATTCTGTTTTTCTGCAATTGTAAGGGGAATTGTTTTCTTAATTTCTCTTTTTGATAGTTCATTGTTAGTGCATAAAAATACAACAGATTTTTGTAAATTGATTTTGTACTCCCACAAATCCCCCAAATTTGCTACTAGTTATGATACTTCTTTGGTGGGATCTTAAAGATTTTTCTAGACATAAAAGCATATCATGTGCAAGTAACTTTAGTTCTTCATTTCCAGTTTGGATGGCTTTTACTACCATGTCTTGCCTAAATGCTCTGGCTAGGACTTCTACCATTATGTCAAAAAATAGTCATTAAAATGGGTTTTTTTGTCTTGCTCCTGATCTTAGAGGAAAAGCTTTCAGAGACTATACTATGATGTTAGCTGTGGGATTATCATATATGGCCTTTATTAGGTTGAGGTACATTTCCTCTATGCCCACTTTGTTAGGAGGTATTTCTTTATCATAATGAATGTTAGCTATTTTGGAATGCTTTTTCTGCATCTGTTATGATGATCACGTCATTTATATTCTTTTTGTTGATGTGGTGTATCATAGTGATTGTTGTTTAGATGTTGAATCCTTCTTACATCCCTGAAATAAATTCCACTTGGTCATGTGTATTCTTATAATGTTTTGTTGAATCTGTCTTGCTGATATTTTGTTGAGGATTTTTACATATATGTTTATAAGGAATAGTAGCCTATAATTTTCTTGTGTATGTGTGTGTGTGGTACCCTTTCTTGTTTTAGTATCAGGGTAATGAGTTTGATGTTTCTGAGTTTGATAAAACGAGTTTGATTTTTGAGAAGTTTGAGAAGAATACATATTTAATCTTCTTTGCGTGCCTGGTAGAATTCACCAATGAAGCCACTTGGTCTTGGACTTCTGTTTGTTGGATAGGTTTTGATTTCTGATTCAGTCTCCTTACGATTAATTTGTCTATTCAGGCTTTCTCTTTCTTCATAATTCAGTCTTGGAAGATTATGTTTCGAGAAATTTACCCGTTTCTCCTAGGTTGGCTGGTTTGTTGGCATATAACTGTTCACAACAGTCTCTTCTGATCTTTGCATTTCTTTGGTATCGGTTGTGTCTTCTCCTGTTTCATTTCTAATTCCATTTGAGCTTCTCCTTTTTTATTTCCTTAGTGAATCTAGCTAATGGTTTGTCAATTTTATCTTTTCAAAGAACCAGTTCTTAGTTTCACTCATCTTTTCCATTTTCTTTTTAGTCTCTATTTTATTTATTTCTTCTCTAATGTTTTTTTCTGTCTTTTTCTAAAATAAGGTTTTGCTTATTCTTTTTCTAGTATTTTGGGGGTGAAAAGTTAGGTTCTTTATTTGAGATTTTTCTGTTTCTAGAGGTCATCTTATATCACTATGAATTTCCTTCCCTTTTAGAACTATTTTTGTTGCATTCAATAGATTTTGGTACATTGTATTTTCATTTGTTTCAAGGAATTTTTTTATTTCTCCTTTGATTGTTTCATTGATTCATTTACTGTTCAGTAGCATGTTGTTTAATCTCCACACATTTAAGACTTTTCCAGTTTTCTTCTTATTCTTATTGTATCTGATTTCTAGTTTCATACCATGGGTTCAGGAAAAAAATGCTTCCTTTGACTTCAATCTCCTTTACCTTATTGAGATTTGCTATGTGGCCTAACATATGATCTATCCTTGAGAAGAATGTGTATTCTGCTACTTTTGGATAGAATGCTCTGTATATATGTATTCATTGCATCTGGTCTAATGTGCTAAGGCCAATGCTTCCTTCTTGATTTCCTTTGTGAATGATCTATCCATTGATGTAAGGGAAATAATAACGTCCCTTAGTATTATTGTATTGCTTCCTACTTCTCCCTTTAGGTCTGTTAATATTTGTTTTATATATTTAGGTGCTTCTATTACTCACTGGAAAAGACCCTTGGGGGGGATTGGGGGCAGGAGGAGAAGGGGACGACAGAGGATGAGATGGCTGGATGGTATCACTGAGTTGATGGACGTAGGTTTGAGTAAACTCCAGGAGTTGGTGATGGTCAGGGAGGCCTGGCGTGCTGTGGTTCATGGGGTCACAAAGAGTTGGACACGACTGAGTGACTGAACTGAACTGAACTGATGTTGAGTGCATAAATATTTATTAATGCAAATGTTATATTCTCTTGCTGGATTTATCCCTTTCTCATTATGTAACACCTGTCTTTGTCTCTTACTATCATCTTTGTTTTAAAGTCTATTTTGTCGGATATAAGCATAGTTACCCCAGTTTTCTTTTTGTTTCCATTTGTGTGAAGCATCATTTCCATTCCTTCACTTTCAGTCTCTGTGCCATTACATTTNCCCCCCCCCCCCCCCCCCCCCCCCTCCCCCCCCCCCCCCCCCCCCCCCGGGTGTTTTTCTTATTCTTTTATTTGAAACATATTCCTCTGTTTCTTCATTCTGCCTGTTTCTATTTGTTTCTATGCATTAGTCAAAACAGCTACCTTTTTCAGTCCTGACGGAGAGACTTTGTGCAGGGGATGAAACTTCTTGCTCAACCTTGCCCTGGGTCTTGATTTTCTCTTGACAGATTGAATTTGTTAAGTGTGCTGAATGTCTGTGTTCCCAAGGGAGGACCTCAGCACCTAGTTTCAGGCTGATTGGAAGTTAGATCCTCAGGCAGAAGCTTTAAAAGTATGAAAATATACATCATCCTCTGAGACTTCAGTTGTAAACTCTGCTGACCTCTAGACCAGCCAATTTGGAGGTATCCCTCTGGTGACAGTTGCAAAAACCAGGGCTTCCGATGATCTACAAGCTCTTCACTGGGCTCTAGCACAGCCAAGGAAGAACAGACACAGGGAAGGGATCCCTCTTCAGTCCATAGATGTGCAGCAACCCTGAAGCCTGCCCTTCAGGTTGAAGCTCTCGACGCGTAGGTGGATATTTTTCACAGGAAGATCTGGCGTGTGTTCCACTCTGTGCTGTGCCGTGCCTTAGGGGTCGTGGCTCTCGGATTGTTTTAGTCCCATGGGGCCCAGAAACACCGGTTCCCCTGGCCACCAGAGCAGGCAGTCGTGGAGTACGCACGAGTGACTTTTAGGGCAGTGGACAACTGAAGGAGTGGGGTGTGCCCGTCAGCAGTAGCTAACAGGAGCACAAAAATGGTGCCCACAGGCCACTCAGCCCCTGGAGAGGCTTCCCTCCCCGGCTTCTGTCCCTTCAGCAGATACTTTAAGATTAGCTAGTAAATCTCCTGCACGTATGTTCTAGGCACTTTTCAAACTACTGCTTGAACAGTTGGTCCCAGGGTGTCTAGGTCTGCAGCTGAGCCTTTTAAGAGTGGTATTTCTGTCCCTACAGCCGTTTGAGTCTTCCGGATGCAAGCCCCTTTGACTTTCAAAGTCAGATGTTAGAGGGGCTTGTCTCTCAGGTGAGGTCTCAGGAACTGGGGTCCTGGTGCTGAACATGAGCCCCTTCACTCTTCAGGAAGACGCTCCATATGCTCGCTGGCCTTCCAGGTGCCGGCTTCCACACCGGCAGTGTGGTTTTGGAGAGACCATATCTCTGCCTCATCTACCTTCTTGATGTGGGCCTTTTATACTTTTTTTAAGAAGGAGCTGTTCAGCTAGTATTCTGCTCTGTTTTCGAGGAAATTGTTCCTTATGCAGCTGTGGATTTGGTGTTTCCATGGGAGCAGGTGGATTCAGACTTTTCCTACACGGTCATCTTGAAACACATCTTGCACAATTCTACTTCAAACTAGAATGTTATTTGCCATCTAACAGTGATTTAATATTCCTCTGCGGTTTTTTTCCTCCAATAAAGAATAGTTTAAGTTAAAAGAAGATAAATTTCTCTGAGTTGTTAGCCTCACCCAGATACCTAACTGGACAACATTGCCACCTGGTGGTCGAAACAAACTACGGCCCTCACCTTTGGGGTTGGCGCTGGGGTCTGAGGGGCGTGCCTAGGAAATGCACGCTAACTGTGATGCCAAAATCACACCAAGGGCATGAAACTCTTGCAGAGCAAACACGTGCTGACATTCCATTGGAGAACCCAAAACTGCACCAGTTCCACAGAGAAAAATGTACTGTATCCATTGAAACAAGCTTTTGACTTGCTTGTTTACTTCGTTTTCTCTGCACTTTTAGGATCCACTTTTTTCAGTCCCTTGTTCACCTACTGCTTGAAAACATTTTCAGTTGTCTCATCTTTACAGAAAGGATGTTACCCTACATACATCACCATGACCAGGTAAAGATGCAGGAGTCGGGTTGCTAACGGTGCTCAGAAACTCCGCAGGGGATCAGTCTGAGCCTGTGATAAGAATGATCTAGAATAATCGAGCAAGAGCTTGGCTGTGGTCTACACAAGATGGAACTTAGATGGACAGAAAGCTAGGAGGCTGAGAAGTGTGGAGCAGATGCAGCTTCAACTGAGATTCCCGATGTTTTAGAGATAAATATTCTTAGCAGACATCCCTCAGAGCCTCTGCTTCAGGTAAAGTCAGAGCTCAGTGCTTCTGATGATTGACTAGGAAGTTTATGTAATCTGTTGTTTCTGCAACTAGACCACCTGTGGCAACCACCATCAGGTTCCCGAAAGGCACAGATGGGCTTGAAGGAACACGCCCAGGATGGACCATTACCAGGATGCCACTGATGTGTGCTTGCCAAGCCTCATCTCTGACCCTGTGCAGGTAAGACCATCACAGGGGCTGAGAGGACAAAACAGAACAGCCATTAAGTCTTTTTCAGCCTGCTTTTGATGAAATAAGGATAGAAACAAAAAACATCAGTGTAGATGTCTGCACAAAGGAACCATGAGAAAGCTGGAAGAGGTAATTTTCAGAAATCCAAATATGTGCTTCTCCAAAATTTGCATCAAGAGGCTGAGTTATGCCCATGCAAATGGATCTTAGCTCAAATTCATGTTACAAAAATCTGGAACACATCTGTCTTCCCCTATGCAAATCTCCTAGAAAAACAGCCATTGGTTCTTACCTATAATAAAAAGAATCTCCACTGCAATGTCACTGACTGTTGTGCTCCGCGTCGTCGACAGGTCATCGTTGCCAATGAAGCAAACGTTGTAAGGTACCGTCACGGCAACATAAAACGTCGCCAGCAGAATAAGCCAGTCCCAGCCGGCTTTGAAAGTGCTAAAATGCAAAAGTATGAATTTGGACTTTTTTGCGTCAGAAACTTTATACTCCGGAAATGCTGGTTTGTCTACAAAAACATTCTGTGGATAAAGACAAAGAGAAGAGAAGAGAGAAACACAACATCAGAAATAAGGAACAGGGAGAATTATTTAGAAACACATATCATGGTATTAGATTTTACAAGAGACATTTAGAAGCTGGTAATGCAAAAAAAATAGAGGTGTATAAATTAAAACTGGGCAGGGATCTTTGTTATAAGTAATAGGAAAATGCAGAGTGTAGTCATCCATGTTAATATGTGAGTTATCTAGACTTCTGTTCATGAAGAGTAAAAACATCATTATCTAAAACGTCACCTAGAAACATCCAAAGTTGCAAGTATAATCCTGCATACATCATAAACACCAGATACAGCTAGGCTCCTACTGTCGTGGGGACATTCCATATACTTATAGTTTTGAGAAGACAGTCATTATGTAAAGAATATATTGGACCTGAAATTCTAATAACAGCAAGGGTGCCATTTTTTTTTCAGCAAGGATAGAGCTATATGATCAAATTTGATTGTAAATAGCTGTTAACACATCTTTCAAAATACAACCAGATTGTACTGACTACTTGCATTATGGTTGTTGGTGAAGCTTCCAATTGGGAACCCAAACCTCACAACCTTGATGGACACGGGTTTATTCTGACACTGGCTCGCCCTTGTTAAGATAAGTGAAAAACAGTTACTTCACAGTTATTATTCAAGTCATGGGAGGAGAAAAGCAATGTTCACTGTGCAGCTGATTAAATGCAGAAGAATAGCTGGAGTTTTTATAACTGCAAAAGCACTCCATTTTGAAAGCAGTCCAAATTGATGAACAATTCCCTTTATTGCGATGAGACAAAGGGAGGCCCAACAATAGGGTGTGGGGAAATTTGACAGCCTATGACCAGATACTTGCGCACCTTGCTTTGACCTCAATTAATGAGAATTACAAGCTAGGTAATGGAAACTTAGAATTGAAAGTTACACTGAATGAACAGAACAGTTAGAAGTTCTGGAGTGTATGTTACTTGCAGGTTGCTGTGTGTTTTTTTCTTTCAGGGATTGAGGGAAGAGTAAATTAATATGGTATGTTCAGGGATCCCCAAAGTACCTGGGGAATCAAGAAAGGTTCAGAGCAGTCAGGAGCATGAGCTCTTCCGTGTTGACTCTCTGGAGGCCGAACACTTCTGCTCCCTTAGCATGAACGCTGCTTCTGTCTTGCGTCTCTCCTTGGCAGGCGTTTACAACAAATGCTTCTACTTCTGGTGAATATTCTCAGTCAGCCCACTCGGGCACTTCATGAACCCAGGATCTGAGGGGAGATTGCTCCCCCCCTTCCTGACTGTTCTTTCCTGCCCATCTGCCACTGTGTCTATGCTCCACTCAACCCCACGACTTGACCTGCTCCTTCGCTTCATTCTTTGGCTTTTGGAACAAGTTCCAAAGGTAGATTATGCCATAAAATTCAGAGAGGAAGAAGGAAGTAACACCTGTCGGGCTTCTCATCAGAGCTGATGCAGGTGCAGAAAAGAGAGATTCAGGGGCCGTAAGAGACTTAGAGTCTCAAGGTTGACAAGCACTCATATTTACGATAGAACGGGACAGAGTCCAATATGATTTTTTCCCAAACATTTACTATAATAACATATTACCAAAAGCCATGGAAGACTATCTCAGTTTTTATCCAAATAAGTCTTTTTCTATCATGTTATAGAAATGAAATTCTGACTTTGTTTCAGAAGGAAGCCAGCTCCAGGAGTGAAGGCTGTGAAAACTCAAGAAGCAAAATATTTTTTCATTTGAAGTATGTTGCATTATATGAAGCATTAGTGGTGCCGTTGCAAAGGTCAACAATGTAATGGTTATCTTCAAAAATCAGAAAATAAATCATACCACTTCATTTTTATAGGCTACTCAAAATACATTAAAGTATTTTAAAAGATACTGAGAATCCAATGCATCTCAGCTTAGACTTAAAACTTTAAAAGGTTTCTCATTCAAATTCTGCATTCATCTTGACACAAGCAGGATTGAAAAAAGAGTGCAAAAAGAGACACCTTTCTACTCCCACTACTCTGTTTATGAAGTTTTATCAAAAACCTTTTGAATGGAAGAAATTTCTTACAATTGGAAAGTGTGCTTTTAGCAAATATGGAGAAAAAGGCATATTTATAACCCTGAAATATATGAAGTTTGCCTACAGAGTAATACAGCCATTCTCAATTTTAGTTATCTATCATGTATTAATTTGGAATCATATTCTTTAGTAGAAATGGTGTTTGGGTTGTTTAACCTCTACCATGCATAGCCGCTCAGTTGTATCTGAGTCTCTGCAACCCCATGGACTACAGCCCACCGGGCTCCTCTGTCCATGAGGTTCTCCAGGCAAGAATTCTGGAGTGGGTTGCCATGCCCTCCTCCAGGGGATCTTTCCGACCTGGGTCTCCCGCATTGCAGGCGGATTCTTTACCAGCTGGCACACCAGGGAAGCCCAAGAACCCTGGAGTGTGTAGCCCATCCCTTCTCCAGGGGATCTCCCAGACCCAGGAATTGGGCCGGGGTCTCCCGCATCGCAGGCGGATTCTCTACCAGCTGGGACAGCAGGGAAGCCCAAGAACCCTGGAGTGTGTAGCCCATCCCTTCTCCAGGGGATCTTCCTGACCCAGGAATTGGGCTGGGGTCTCCCGCATCACAGGCAGATTCTCTACCAGCTGGGACAGCAGGGAAGCCCAAGAACCCTTGAGTGTGTAGCCCATCCCTTCTCCAGGGGATCTTCCTGACCCAGGAATTGGGCCGGGGTCTCCCGCATCGCAGGCGGATTCGTTACCAGCTTCCAGGATCCTCTCCCTGCCACTAATAAAAACCGGTTGTAGGGCGCCGCCGTCTTCCTCATGACTAAGCCACGTTGACTAAGAGAAGACGCTGGCTGCTGTGTTCCGCGAAAAGTGGCAGCGCCAGAACCGGGGCCGCTGCAGAAAGGATGGGAGCAGGTCCGTCTCAATTGTCTGTGCCACCCACAGGCAAAAGCTGGGCCAGCAGGACTTCCCTGCCGATCCAGCGGTTAAGACTCCGAGCTTCCACCATAGCAGGCCCAGGGTTTGATCCCTGCTCGGGGAACTAAGATCCCACATGCCACAAGGAGTGCGTGCATGCTCAGTCATTTCCAACTGTTTGAGTATGTATTATTAACTCAGTGGTTAAGGCCAAAGCCTAATCAAGACTAACTATTCCCTAAACTATTTCTGCAACATGTCTTTGAAATCAACTTCTGAATGAACAAAGGGATGGGGAAATTTTCCTACAGTGATCACGCTGAGCGACTGCAGGGTAGCATATGCCTTCCATGAGGACCAGCCCAGAGCCCGTCAGTCATATTTGGGCATCCTTTCCAGCTCTCAACGCTGCCATGGGGTCTTTTGAGTTGAAGGCACTTGCATCACCCCAATGTCATTGAATAGAATAACCAGTCAAGGAAACCAGAAATTAAAAACTGTTTCCAAAGTTAGAGCCAGGACTGAAGGGCATTAGTTATATTGTGATTCTCAGAGCTTGCTAAGGGCCGGATGAGCTAATCTGTTCCAAGTTGAATCACATATTCCTATTGCCCAGAAGGGCACCAGAGGAGAAGCAGGGTAGGGGCAGGAGCACTGTGGCTGAATCAGGGGATTCACGGTTGGGCCCCACACCTGCTGGCTCTGCTTCTGATATTTCAAATAAATTGTTCTTTCCCATCATTAAAATGGAACGAATAAAAATCATATCAGTCCTGGCTTGCTGTAAGAATCCGATAATATGATAACAGCAAAGGGGGTTTGTAAATAGCAAAGACCTACAAGAATATCAAGAAATCTTTTTTTTTTTTTTTGGTCACTTGAATGTTAATATATTCAGAATTTCCCGAAGACTGATTGTTTAGCCAATAAACTGGATTGTTGTTCCCCCTTCTCTAGTCTTTCTGCTATCTCTTAGCATTCAGGTCTGTTCTCCTTGAAATAAGATGGTGAACAGGGCTCGTCCTGACTCCACATTTCCTTCTCAGAAATACTGTACTACTTGTATTGTCAGAGTCTCCATGTTGATTAGACATCCTTCGTTACCATGTAGTATTTTAATGTTCCATCCTGATGTGTGTAATTCTTAAATAAACACAATTTAGCAAATTAGCCAAGTAGTGGGAGTTATGATTTTTTAAATAAGATTTTTAAGTGCTGTTCTGTACTTTGTTGAATCAGAAGGGGAAAAACAGCATGTTCTGTAAATGCATTTTAAGCTCACTAAAGCTTGGTACATTTAAATGACTGGACTACAGGCTAGAAGAGTGTCTTCTTTCAGCATTACAGAATCTCAGGCTAATATTTGTTTAGGTGCTTTGCTGGCTGGTTTGCATAGAATAAAGGCCAGGTGTGGTTACATTTGTTTCTTCCTAGAACTTATATCGTCACTAAGGCTAACTTGGTAAAGGAAAGCAGGTGTAACAAGGAACCAGGAGGATTCACGGATCCAGTGGTGAGCCATGTTTCAGGTCTATCCCTGGATTCTCAGGAAATCAATGTGACACACAGGTGTCCCTGGAGAGCCTTTATATTCAGCCAAGACAAACTAAATCAAATGTGACTCTTGAGAGCGGTACCCACAGGTCAGCACCAGCGCGGTGATGGTCCTGGAGCACAGATGGGGGCAAACAGCGCGGCTTCCAGAGGAAATCCCTCTGAGGCAGAGCCGGCTCTGTACCCTTGCATGGGAGATGGCAGTCCACCCCGGGCTCTGTTCACGAAACTCAGACAAGAGGATACTTTGTGCGTTCCAAGCAAGAAAGTTTTAGCAAACTGTTTACAGGCCAGACTAGATAGTTTTGAGTTCTCCATGTAAAATGAGATGCCAAAGAAGCTCCTGTGTCCCTAACTCCCAGAGCCTAAGCACCTGAGGTCAATTCCAAAATAGCTCTGGTTGTTTCACATGATTTTTCTAAAGTCACTGGCAAGTCAGATGTTGAGTCTTGATGTCTGACCCCCATAGTCAGACATATCCCCAAAGTTGTATGCTCTGGAGATTTCACCATGTAGATTAAAGACATTACCAAGATTTGAAAAATCACCTTTGAGTATCTGCAATCAAGCAGGTATAGTTCTGGATTTCTAGTGAAGTCTCTTCATCCTAGGAACCTATGATGAAATCAACTGGCAAATCCTGGGGGACATTGGCCACTTAAAACTCTGCAGAGTCACCTTTTATAAGCACAGTTATCTGCTGTGGCTTTGGCCAGGTGACCACCAGGTTTCAAAAAGTAGCCCTACTATGATTTACTAAAAGGTAACTTAAAAAAGGAAACCCAACTATAAGGTATATGGCATATCATTTCAAATCCAATGTTCTTAGGTGTGAAATTCCCAATTCTGTGTTGCATAAAATGTAAATTTCTAAATGGAGTAATGACTGATTTGTTCATGGTTCCCCTGGATGAAAGCATTCAGTGAAATTAGATAAAGTGCAAAACAGATGGAATGAAAATTAAATTTGAGAAATTTTAACCAACAAACGATGAACGTGTAATATAACTTGCTCATAAAATGTAACCGGTCTCATTTGCAGTCTCCCTAGTACCATATTGTACTGACTGGAATAATATTCTAGGCTGCGATAACACTATGATTAATCACGTTTATTATGGAAATGCCTTGTGACTGCTGACCTTTCCCAGTTTGTTCTTTATGGGAAAGTGCAAGTCAAAGTGGAAAAAAATCTAGGAGAGTCAATAAATGAGTAATTGGAGCCTTTCTTTAGCGAATCAAACATTGCCGCCAAGGGAAAATTTAGCATTCGCAGTGTACACACATGCTACCTACATTGTTTATTTTCAACTTGTTCTTTTCTCTTCTTTGCAGGTGGCCGGAGATGTGATAAAGGACCGCTCTGCTTCGTCTCCGGGCTGAATCAAAGTGGGTTCCTGCTCTTGATCGTCCTTTGGCTTTGTCTGGGGGAAATAAAACTCATTGAGCACCAATGAATGTATCATTTGACCCCAAGAATGTCATTTTGGCAGTTCCTTCTCAAGAGCACACAGTACAGGCTTTTCAACACCCCAAGTTATCTGCCGACTCCTTATGACATTTAATTTTAGTTCTTTACAATTTACATATTTTTATCTTCATACTAATGTCATCATCTTTTCAATGAAAGTAAAACATACAAGAGCACAGAGAAACTTTCAAATAGTTAAGGAAAGCATTAAATAAAAAGCCTTACTCCTTCCTTCCTGCTGTTTCACATTGATATCGCTAATTTGACTTTCAACTTTTTTTTCTCATTTTTTTCCAGAAAAATATCCAATACATGTGCTATATCCACATTCATACTTTTTCTTTGCATAAATGGAAGTTACAATAAAACTATTTACATATTACTTTTCCATGTCAAAATAGTGTAAATCATCTCTAATGTGCACATTAGAGTTCTTTGTCATTCTTTTCTAGAGCTAACTGTGCCATGCTAAAGATATAATTAGTCTTATTTTCTTTACTATTTCCCTATCACGAACATGTACATTTACCCAGCATTAAAAAAGAAATCTGTGTAGACAATCTTGCAAAGAAAATTCTTATATGCATAACACTGTGCATTGATGTGTCAAGGTATTCAGTAAATAAATTACTCTGCAGATTTTAAATTTTGGTATACATATTCCAAATTTAATTCCAGCAACTTATATTCCTAGGAGTGGTGAGTGGATGTGTCTGCTTCACCACACACATCAAAATTCTGAACTATATAAAATAAGTGTTGCCTGATATTTTGATAGCTGAAAAATGCCATAAAATTATTTGGACTTGCATTTTTAAAATGGTGACTGTGAATAAGTTTCAGGTAAATATTTATTGTCCATTTGCATTTATTTTTATGAAGTCTCTTCACATTATTTGTGCCAATTTTGAAATTAACTTGGTCCTTTTCTGTCTATTTTTAAGAGCTTTTGTATCTTAGTCACCATTTTCTTGTCACATATGCTGCTGACAATGCTCCCATTTTGTTACCTGACCTTGGATTTTAATTATGTGGTATAAAAATTTCACAATTTTATGTTGTCAGGCTTATCAATATATGAACTTGTGGTGTCTAGGCTTTATGTCTTGCATAGTCAAACTGTCTTCACTCAAAAATTAAAAAAGGAAACAAAAACTATTTTAAAATATCTATGCCTGCATTCTTCCAACATGTTTGTGTCTTTTTCTAAATTTTTAACATGTAAATCTTTAATTCAATTGAACTCTATTTTAGTAAAATTAGGTAAGTATCCAGCTACTTTATTTTCTTTCCAAAGGTATGTTGCTCAAGAGAAATAAAAAGTTGATTGTATGACTTTAAGAAACATTTAGTCTTTATTTGGTCAGTTGGTGAACATTCAATTTCATGCTATATATATTGAATATATATGTCAATAATTGTCATAACTACGGTTTTTCCAGTAGTCATGTATAGATGTGAGAGTTGAACCATAAAGAAAGCTGAATGCTGAAGAATTGATGCTTTTGAACTGTGGTGTTGGAGAAGACTCTTGAGAGTCCCTTGGACTTCAAGGAGATCCAAGCAATCTGTCCTAAAGGAAATCAGTCCTGAATATTCATTGGAAGGACTGATCTTGAAGCTGAAACTCCAACACTTTGGCCACCTGATGTGAAGAACTGACTCACTGCAGAAGACCCTGATGCTGGGAAAGATTGAGGGCAGGAGGAGAAGGGGACGACAGAGGATGAGATGGTTGGATGGTATCACCGACTTGATGGACATGAGTTTGAGTAAGCTCCGGGAGTTGGAGGCCTGGAGATGGACAGGGGGGCCTGGCATGCTGTACTCTATGGGGTTGCAAAGAGTCGGACACGATTGAGTGACTGAACTGAACTGACAATACTTGCAAAATGCAAAAATCAAAAACCTGTTTTTCTAAGCTTCATCATCAGATCTCTGTAGTGCTTGGAAGGCTGTCTGATTCCTCTTCATAAAACTTATTTGGGAAAAAAATGACTTGGTTTCATTGCTACACTGAGGAAGTCATCTAACTATTATTGATGGCCCGTGTGCCAGGGCTTGTTCTAGATCTTTGGTATAAATAAATTTTAATTAATTCTCATACTCAGCGAGATAAGCATTATTATCCTCCATTCACAGAGGAGAATAGTGAAAGGCTGATAGTGACCACATGGCTATTCAGGGAAAGAGCCAGTCTGTGACGCCAGATTGGTCTAAACTCTCTACCTCTACATGCAGCCCAGGTCTGTCAATGAATGAAATCAATATTCAGATGCTGCCTGGTGTGAAGAGGCACACAGATGAATGTGTGTCATAGTCACAGTCCATCTGACTCTGATCTCCAGGTGTTTCATGGCCTTTAATGACCTCCCATTCTCAGGCCACACTGGGATGCTTTCAATGACCAGAAAATAAGAAGTTTTATTCATTGCAAAAGTCTAATCTGATGTTATATGTCTTTTCATTCCTCATCTTGTGCTTCAAACTTTGAGGGAATATTAAAATGCAATGATGTGTTACTATAGACATGAATCAATAAAAACAGATTAACAAAACAGGATGTAGAAGATCAAGGGGGGGTCCCATTCTCTTCAAAATGCCCATGAACAAAGCCCATTTCATTGCACTACAGTTAAGATTGCATCTTCGTGTGTTCATTTTTTTTTTGATCTACATAGAACTCTTATAAATTGCATCTGAAAATGTATTATTAATTCATCAGGGTGTAACTTTAAATATACTTAAATTGGACACCCGCCCGAGATATAGATAATATCTATAGGAATGTAGCTGGAAATGCAGTGGTCTGCTTATGCACTCCCAGTTGGCATCATGATGCCAGTGCAGTTACAATGCTAACTACAAAGTGGACCAGATTAGAGATCTGTGACAGTCAACAAGCCAAATCCCATCTCCATGGAGACATTTAATTATTGGTGAGATTTTCCAAATCAAACAAAAGCAATTTTATAGTCCTAAAAAAGAACCCCTCAGAGGGAAATGTCAAAGAAATATCTCTTGGTGTTGGCTCTAAGCAGAAGAAAGGAAAAAGGTTTCCTTGAAAAATTTTGTTCACAGTTTAAGTTTCATTCAAGACTGGGATTGAAAAATCATTCCACTTAGGTGGTCTAAAATCTCCCAAGCAAGTGATTGAACTTAAAATGGTTCTAGGTTGGTAGCTCCTGAATGAAAAAAAAAAAAATCATAAATAGAGTAGGAAATAACTCATAAAAAATATGTGTGTGTGTGTGTGTGTGTGTGTGTGTGAGAAATTGCTTCAGTTGTGTCCAACTCTTTGTGACCCTATGGACTGTAGCCTGTCCACAGGATTCACCAGGCAAGAATACTGGAGTGGGCTGCCATGCCCTTCTCCAGGGGATCTTCCCAACCCAGGGATTGAAACTGCATTCCTATGTCTCCTGCATCGGCAGGCAGGTTCTTTACCACTAGCACCATCTGGGAAGCTCAGAGGGTAAAGAGTCTGCCTGCAATGTGGGAGACACGGGTTTGATCCCTGGGTCGGGAAGGTCCCCTGGAGAAGGGAATAGCTACCCACTCCAGTATTCTTACCTGGAGAATTCCATGGATAGAGGAGCCTGGTGGGCTACAGTCCACAGGATCTCAAAGAGTGGGACATGACTGAATGATGAACACTTTCAGTTTCACTTCATACACACAAAATAGTCATGACAGCAATGTTCGTAAATTTCATATACATAAAAACACATAAAATCTGCATATGTGTTTGTGTGTATAACTAGAAATAAGCCAAATGTCCCAAAACAGAAAAATGCATAAATGTTGATACAGTCATGACATAGGATGTTAAAATTCCATTAAACTAGACTTAGGATAAATAGAAAATGAAGGAAATAGTGCCTACCTGTTAGTACAGAAGTATCTCAAAATCATGTCAGGCACAAAAGCAGTAAACACATGAGCACTGACATTATGGCAACATTTTTATAATATTTACAAACATGCCAAATTTCTTCCCAGGTGGAGCTAGTGGTAAAGAATCTGCCTGCCAGTATAGGAGACGCATGAGATCCAGGTTCAATCGCAGGGTCGGGAAGATCCCCTGGAGTAGGAGATGGCACACCACTGGAGTGTTCTTGGAAACAGTCAAAAAATGTGCAAAGTTGTTTGGAGCTGCATTTTTAAAATGATGAACGTGAATAAGCTTCAGGTACATATTTATTGTCCATTTGCATTTATTTTTATGAAGTCTCTTCACATTATCTGTGCCAATTTTGAAATTAACTTGGTCTTTTTCTGTCTATTTTTAAGAGCTTTTGTATCTTAGTCACGGTTTTCTTGTCACATGTGCCGCTGACATTGCTCCCATTTTGTTACTTGACCTCGGATTTTATTTATGCAGCATGAAAATTTCACAATTTTATGTTGTCAGGCTTATTGATATATTAGTTTTGGTGTCTAGACTTTATGGTTTGCAATAGTCAAACTTTCTTTGGAAAATTCTGGAAATCCTGGGAAATTCCATATGCAGAGGAGCCTGGAGGGCTACAGTCCATGGGGTCCCCAAAAGCCAAACACAACTGAGTGATTGAGCAGACATATATAAGAGTAAGTAGCATATCATCTAGGGAAAAAAATATGTATACTACAAATCTACCCATAATCACATGAAAAGAGCAAACTGCAAAGAGGTTGGAAAACAAAATCTTTAGCTGGGTCACCATGTGGCTTACTAAATGGAATNCATCTAGGGAAAAAAATATGTATACTCAAATCTACCCATAATCACATGAAAAGAGCAAACTGCAAAGAGGTTGGAAAACAAAATCTTTAGCTGGGTCACCATGTGGCTTACTAAATGGAATTAGTAAAATTCTATTTTGTAAACTGGATTTGGAGTGTATGGGAGTTTTTAAAATAATACTTTCAAATTATATAATGTATATATTTTGAATGTAAAAATATCTCACA